GGCCGGCCTGCTGTCCGCCCGGGACTTCCTGGCCAGCCTGGCCTTCCGTGTGTTCCAGTGCACCCAGTACATCCGCCATGCCTCGTCGCCCATGCACTCCCCAGAGCCGTGAGTGCGCCACCCGCTCTGGCGTGGCCCCGTGCACACTGCCCAGCCCCGCGACGCACGGCCAGCAGGGCGCCATTTATGGGCCTGGGTCCCCGGGAGCCGGGCCCTGCTGTCCCCATGTGGAGGTCAGAGGGAGGGTGGCCAGGGCAGGCTGCCTGTCCCCCAGACCCCAGCCCACCCCCTCTCTCCCCACCCCGACCCAGGGACTGCTGCCACGAGCTGCTGGGACATGTGCCCATGCTGGCCGACCGGACCTTTGCCCAATTCTCCCAGGTGCGTCCTCCAGGCCCTGGGCTGGGAGTGGCTGTGGCCCAGGGCTGGGGGCTGAGCGAGAATCCGACATGCGAGCAAGGGACGCTGCTCCTTGAGCTGTCCCATCCCTGGCGCCATCTTGAGCCCCTCCAAGGGGGCTCACCAACCCCCTACCCTGGGCTTGACGGTGCTCACTTGGGTCCATGCTCAGACCCATTTGGGGAAGACACCTTGTAAAAATGATGAGGATGAATCCTCCCACAGTCAGCCCAGGTCTCCGAGCAGAGCAGGCAAGCTGGGGTGGATTCCCTCAGTCTCTGCTGCCATCTGCTGGCTGCCCCAGGAACAGCAGAGAGTGGTCCTGGGCCCTTGCCGATCCCGGGAGGGTCCCTGCATCCCGGGAGGTCCCTGCATCCTGCGTAGTGTCCAGGAGAGAGGCTGCTGACACCCCCAGTGCCCCCACCTCACATGGGTGCCCAAGCAGTGGTGAGCTGGGCCTTTCTCTGCCTCAGCCGCCTCCTCCCTCCACAGGACATCGGCCTCGCATCCCTGGGGGCATCGGACGAGGAGATTGAGAAGCTGTCCACGGTGTGTTCCTTCCCTAGCAGGACCCTGGTCGGGGGGCTCAGGACTCCCAGGTTCCGGCGGGGCCCTCTGGTCCTAGGTGTGGCCCCTGCTTCTGTCCAGGAGTGTGGTCCTCATGCTGTGACCACCCCTGGAGCGTGGCTGGGCTCTGCCTGGATGGGGGGGTGCCCTGAGACCACGGTCACTGGGGGCAGCTGTGCTGGCCGCATCTGTCTCTCGGCCAACCCTGGCGGCTGTCTCGCCAGCTGTACTGGTTCACGGTGGAGTTTGGGCTGTGCAAACAGAACGGCGAGGTGAAGGCCTACGGTGCGGGGCTGCTGTCCTCCTATGGGGAGCTCCTGGTGAGACCCTCCCCATGCCACAGCCCCCAGCAGGAGGGCCAGAGCGGGGGGTCCCAGCAGGGAGGGCAATCTGGGCCATGCGGCCTGGATTCCGGCCTCCCAGGAGGCTGGAGCAAGGGGCTGCGCCTTTAGGGGGTCCAAGAAAGCTTGTCTCTGCCCAGTGCCACCCACAGGGTCCCCAGGTCTCAGGAGGACCCTGAGGGAGGAGGGTCTGAGTCCACACCCAGAGCCCACCACGGAGTCAGGCCTCTGCCCTCCAGTTCCCTTGGGCCCTGGGGTGCTGCGGGGTCCTGTGACCCTGTGGCCTCTGCCAGCACTCCCTGTCGGAGGAGCCTGAGATCCGGGCCTTTGACCCCGACGCTGCGGCCGTGCAGCCCTACCAGGACCAGACCTACCAGTCCGTCTACTTCGTGTCGGAGAGTTTCAGCGACGCCAAAGACAAGCTCAGGTAGGCAGGGGCTCCTGGGGTGGAGACCCCCACCGTGCCCCCAAACGGCAAGCCAGTCAGCAGGGCCGGGCCTGCGGACCCACTCCACAGATGGGAGAACTCTGAACGCCTCGGTTACGACACCCCTCCCTCCCACAGCAGGACCCCCAAAATGTCTGGGGAGGGGGAGACCTGCAGGGCTGGGGGCCAAGTCAAGGCCAGGCTTTTAGGAGACAGAGCTTGACCGTCGTAAGAAAGATGTGTGGGGTCCTTGCCAGCCTCCTACCCTCTGAGTGGCTGGGGCTGTGGGGTGGGACGGAGGAGAGGGGGCCTGGAGGGAGCAGGAAGTCCCAGGACCAGGGGCTGGGGGTACAGTGACCAGCAAGGTATAGGAGAAGGGGGCAGAGCGCCACATGCCTCACCTGCTCATCCTCCGAAAGGGCCTTATTTTCCAGCCAGGCTCCTGCTGTCACAGGGGAAACTGAGGCCCAGGGGCTATATGCCCAGAATAGAGAGGAGGGGAGCTTGAAAATAGGGACGTAACTGGGGCTCTCCAAGGTACACAGTCCCGGGCAGGCTTCCTGGAGGAGGAGGCCTGAGCTGAGCCTCAGGCAGGAGCAGGGAGGAACGGGGCTTTAGGCAGAGACCCTACTCCGCCCCACCCTCAGAGGAGGCCTCAGTTGTCCAGGTGGTTGGACAGAAGGAGCTTTGGGGTCCAGGTGGCTCAGAAAAGTCCTGGGAGCTCTGAGCCGGCTGTGATAGAGGAGACCCGGCCCAGCCCTCCAGCTCTCCTGGAGGCCGCAGACCGAGCTTCAAGGGGTCCCGGTTCCTCCCGATGCCCCGAGAGTCCCCGCCTGTGACTGAAGGTCTGTGCCGGCCTCCCCTCCGCAGGAGCTACGCCTCCCGCATCCAACGCCCCTTCGCCGTGAAGTTTGACCCGTACACGCTGGCCATCGACGTGCTGGACAGTCCCCACGCCATCCGGCGCTCCCTGGAGGGTGTCCAGGACGAGCTGCACGCCCTTGCCAATGCGCTGAGCACCATCGGCTAGGCGCGGCGGGCAGCCCTTCCCCAGCCTCCCCCGGCCCCTGCCGGTGTGTGCGGGGCTGGGTCACAGGGCACCCCAAGAGCCGGCCAGAGGACCTCCCTACCGGAGGGCACCCTGCTGACCCCACCCCGTCGCTTCTCAGCTCCGCCTGCAGGTGTCCTTGTCCCGCTGTGCCACCGCCTGCCTGTGACGCTGTGAGCTGCGTGTTTCCAGCCTCAATAAAAGAAAGCCCCTCTTAGCACCTGCCTCACGTCCACGTCTGTGTGCCTGGCTCAGGGGCCTCAGGGCACGCCCCGCACCCCAGGGCCCTCCCACTGCCCCCGTCTTGCTCAGAGCTTTCCTCTCTGCTTCCCTGCTCCTCCGAGACCCCACTGGTCAGCCCAGGCCAGACGGGAGGCCCCTCTAGGCCTGGATGCCCTGCTCACCCCCCGGGACCAGCCTGAACTGAGCCCCTGGCAGCTCCGGAGGGCGGAGGGCATCCTGGCTGAGCTGCCCCATCTCCGTGGTGTGCAGCACGGAGCTGGGGGCCTGGCTGACGGGAGCCTCCATGGGGCTGGGTGGTGGGGGGAGGGCTCACAGCTGTGCGGGTTTCGGGGTGATCTCGGAGACGGGGCTGCAGGCCAGGCCCTCCCTGACCCTGGTGGTCCCACTAGCAGGAGCCCTTAAGAGCAGGTGGGGGAATGGCCCCAAGCACAGCTGCTTCTGATCCCTGCACCCCCCCAACCCAGAGCAGGACCTGGGAGCGCTCCCTGAAATGTGTGCTGATGGAGCTCAGCTGAGCTGGTTCCCAGGCGACCTCTCTGGGCCTCAGTCTCCGCAGCAAGGTGATAGGGGGCTGGATTCTGGGCTCTGTAAAATGCCTCCTCTTTGTTGAACTGTCTGGACATGGTCCTCCAGGTAGAGCCCCCAGTATTCTCTGGGGCTGGTCAGCCCAAGGTGAACCCCATTTCTCACCCTGCCCCTGCCTTTGCAGAGAGCAGCCTGGGACTTCCTGGGTCCTTACTTCCTGCAGGGTGGGGGCCCGCTCACTCCCTCCAGCCACCCCCTGCCTGGCTATAAGCTCGTAGGATGTCAATCTTGGCAAACTCCTACTCATCTGTCAAAGCCTTCCCGGGCAAAGCCTTCTTCCACAGCCCTCCTTGGCAGTCTGTCCTTCCATCCTCTATACCTTAAGCACCTTGTCTGTGCCCAGACGTCCTGTACCCACATCCCTTCATCCCAGGAGACCCCAACTGGGGCTGTGTCTGATGGCTGTGAGCCCCATTGAGACCCTGCGGAGGGGCTGACCACCTGCCTTGTCTCCCTCCAGCCCTACTGGCCCCTGAGCTCTGCCTTCCCGCCTGGCTCCTCCCCTCATCCAGCCTCCCACCCTGCACGCCCTCTCAAGAGGCCCCCGGGTCTCCCTGGCTGCATGAGGGCCATGGGGCACCGTGTGGTCCTGGGAAAGCAGGGGCAGCCCTCTCCTGGGCAGTGAAGGGGCCACAGACGCTGGTGCCAAGGGAGGGCCAGAGGCTGCAGGGGAGGGGGAGGGCGTAAGGGCCTCCAGTCTGGTGCCTGACCAGGGGGACTAGGAGGCTCCCCAGGGGCTCAGCCATATGACAGCTGAGGGGGCAATGGGGTGGGGCCTCGCCTGTAAGGGGTCAGCATCAGGGAGAAGGGCAGGGGTCCAGGAAGAGGGGTGGGGGCCGAGAGCGTACCTGGGTGGGACGTGGTGGCGCCACCTCACAGAGGGGGTCTCCTGCCCCCAAACTGAAGATGAGAAATGGGGCCAGCCTGAAGGGCCTCAGGGCTGCTGGTCTCCGAGTTGGGCCCTCTCTGTGGCAGCCTAAGTAGCTGGGGGTCTCACAGGCTACTGTGCCGAAGTGGGGATGGGGATGGGCCTGAGCATGGAGGAGACGCCCTGCTCACCACCCCACTGCATGGCCTCGGACCCTCCCTGGGGCCTCAAGGGCAGACAAGGACTGCAGATGGGGAGACTGGGGGTGGGGGGCCAGGCAGGAAGAGCCCCCCTCTGGCCCCCAGCCTCCTGGACTAATGTGGAAAATGCAGCTCAAGCAAGGCCCAGTGGGGCTGTGCTCCCATGCCCACGGCTGCCCCCTGCTGCGAGCGGGCCAGCTCCGGTCATCAGGCCCCTCGTTAAGACTCTAATAACCTGTGGCCCCCAGAGGTGCTGACGACTAAGGAGATGTTCCCGCAGACCCAGCACTGGGGAAATGATCCAGAAATTGCCGCCTCAGCCCCCGGCCATCTGCCACCCCCCTGGAGGCCCTAAGGGGTCAGGTGGCCAAGCCAGGGGCTATAAAGCCAGTGGCGCCCAGGAGCCCCCAGCCCTCGGGGACCAGCTGAATTCCGAGGCTGTCCGCCAGCAGGTCTGTCCCGGTGGGCTCGGTGTCAGCCTTGGTCTGGGGCTGCCCCTGGGGGTCTAGGGCATCCAGGCCCCAGGCCCAAGCTCTGGGCTCCTCTCTTGGAGCATCCTCACTGGGTGGGGGTCCCTGGCAGGGCACATGCCCCTCGCTGGCCTCAACCCTGCCCGTCCCCAGGTCACCGTCCCCTCGCCATGGCCCTGTGGACGCGCCTCCTGCCCCTGCTGGCCCTGCTGGCCCTCTGGTCGCCCAGCCCTGCCCGGGCCTTTGTCAACCAGCACCTATGTGGCTCCCACCTGGTGGAGGCGCTGTACCTGGTGTGCGGGGAGCGCGGTTTCTTCTACACACCCAAGGCCCGCCGGGAGGCCGAGGACCCCCAGGGTGAGCCCCCCACGTGCCCACCCTGGCTTCCTGCTGGCACCCAGAGGGAAGCCAGGCAGGAATTAAAAAGGGAAATGACATTCTCTCGGTCACATCCTAAAATTGACCAGCTCCTTGGTCGGTGTGGGCAACGGGGGCTGAGTACGGACGACACCCCGAGGGTGGGCTCGCTCCCTCCCCTGACCTCCCCTCTCACCCCAGCCCCCTCCTGCTCAAGCAATGCCCCCTCCCCTGACACGTCAGCTTCAGCGAGGAATTTTATCAAGTGGGTCAAGTCCTGGGCCTTTATCATCTTGGGGCGACATGGGGATCCTGGGGGTGCCCCATCCTCCCCGCCCACATGCCCACGGGAAACACCCCCTCACCCTCGGGGACGGGGACACAGCAGCCTAAGGGAGTGGAGGAGGCCTTGTCCTGGGGGCTCGGGGGGCTGTGGGGAGTCAGGAGGTTGGGGGGGGCACCAAGGCCACTTGTTCAGGTTCCCGCTGTGGCACTGACTGGGGGTTTGGGGGACGGTGGCAGGATGTGGGGGCCACACTGGGTGGCATGCTGCCAGGCATGTGCAGCCCCTTCTCCATCTGACCCCAGCTCCATGGGGAGATTGGGGTGCAGAGGGAGCAGTCCCAGGCCCACTGTCCCCTGGGCTGTGCCAGAGTGGGGGGCTGGCAGGAGGACGCCATCTCTCCCTGACTCTCTGTCCCCCCACCTGTGTCTCTCTCCTGGTGCTGCTGCCCCGCAGTGGGGGAGGTGGAGCTGGGGGGCGGCCCCGGCCTGGGTGGCCTGCAGCCCCTGGCCCTGGCGGGGCCCCAGCAGAAGCGCGGCATCGTGGAGCAGTGCTGCACCGGCATCTGCTCGCTCTACCAGCTGGAGAACTATTGCAACTAGCCGCCCTCCAGACTCAGGCGCCAGGGCCTCTGTGTCTGCACCCTGCCGTCCAATAAACCCTGTCAATGAGCCCTGCTGGCGTCCTCTATGTGGCATGGGGCCCAGGTGTTGGCTGGGGGTGGTGGCGAGGCCGGGCACATGCTGGTGCACCTGCCGCAGTGGCTGTGGGGACCTGCCCAGGGATTTCTTCTCTGCCTGGACTGCAGGCGGCCTGGGCTCAGGCACGTGGCTGTGCCCCCAAGGTGGTGAGCCCCTGGCAGCCACTGCTAACACCTGCCCCTGGCAGTGGGAGGCCCCCCTACCCAAGGCTGCATCAGGGCTGGACAGAGAAGGGCTGAGGCAGGTCTCCGGGAGGTGGGGGTCCCGGCTGGGAGCTGACGTCCTTAACTCAAAAGCCCTGAGCTTCAGGGCCCCGGGGAGCTTTTCGAGGAAGGAGGGTGGCATCTCAGGGACTTCTCCCTACCTGGCTCGACTTCTGGGCCGTTTCTGATGGAGGCCCTGTGGAGGGAAGAGGCTGGGCCTAGGGACAGATCAGGGCCTGGGGGCTGCCCATGCTAGGCCTGTCTCAGTGCCCCTCACCGCCTCCGGCTCTTGGCGGGCCCGCGGCCTCCCTAGCACCAGCCCCAGCACCAGCCCGAGGAGCCCGCTAGGGCCTGGAGGCAGCAGGGGGAGGCCAGGCAGCACTCCCGAGCTGGGGAATGGACTCAGGTCGCTGCAGGCCCTCGGCAGGGGCCTCGGACCCAGTGCTCACGGCATCCTGGCTGGGTCCACCCTGAGAGCTGCAGCCCACGGGGCTGGGGACAGGGCCGGGTCCCCTAGCCACCCTGCAGCCCTCTCCTCCCGCTATGTCACCACAATCCTTTAGCTCCAGACCTGGTGGTCAACCCCAGAAGTGCCCTTGGGGCCTGAGAACAAGGTCACTCGGGGTCCAGGTCTTCACAGGTCTACACAGACATTGCCCCTGTGTAGTGTCTGCTGCAGCTCAGAGTGGCTCTGTCGGGCACCCCGCCTAGGCCACTGCCTGGCATGCCTGGGGGCTGCCTGGGCTGGCTGTGGCCTGGGAGGTCAGCGGGTGACCTTGGCCTCACCAAGGTCCGGCCAGCCTGCCAGCTGCCCAGTCCAAACCAATCTGCACCCTTCCTGAAGGCTCCGCCTGGGCTGGGGCTGGGGACAACTGGGCCTGGGGCCGGACACCTGGCTGGGTGGCTGCAGACCACTCAGAGGCTGGTCTTGGAGCCAGGAGCAGACACCACCCCCTGGAGCCTGGCCGTCTGGGCTGCCCGCTCCCTGCAGCCCCGAGGCTCCCTCCTGGGTGGCCCCTTCCCCACAACCACATTGACACCCCCCAGGGGAGATGTTGCAGGCCCCCAACAAGCCCCGCCCCTGGAGTGGACTGCTGGACACTGGACCCGGAAGAGGAGGGGGAGGAGGCAGCCGGGACAAGCGGTGAATTGCCCATGGGAGCGCTCAGGCGGCCCCATCTGCACGGGTAGAGGCAGGGACATCCTGTGGCGGCTGAGGTACGTGGGTGCCCGTGGGCTGCGCCAGGCACCACAGACACCGGGGAGTGGGCCGGGCAGGTCAGGCTGCCCTCGAGGCAGCAGTAGGCCAAGCCCGTGTCCTGGCCAAGACCCTGCCAGCCAACAAGACCTGGGGGGACAATCCAGGCCCTTCCCCACCTCGGGTGCCCACAAACTCTGTGGAGGGGAGCCGAAGTCCTTTGGGGTCCAGGGGTGCGTGCGGCCATCCCAGTCGGGGGCACTCCCAGTGCGGCTGGTCCTGGGTGGTACCAGGGTCTCAGGAGCACCACTCAAGGACCTCCCTCCTGGGATCCCGGGAGAGGGGCTGTGCCCATGGGGTGGGCAAGACTGCCCACTCAAGAGACTCAATCATGGTGGGCGGCATCCTCAGCCCCCTGCTGCGGCTGGGGCCTGTCCCCCCTTTCCCCTCCTGCGACCTGCCCCAGCCCTGAGACCCAGGACCCTCCTCTGAGCCTCTCTCCCAGCCGCTCGGCCTCCGTGACGGAGCTTTGGAAAAGGCAACGTGAGGGCTCTCCATCACCCAGCACCGATGAGGTCACAGAGGCAGGGAGAAGTGGCTGCCCAAGGTCAGCCGGGGTCCAGGAGACCCAGTCTCCTGCTTGGCACCACCTGGCACTGAGCCCTAGATGCCCCAGTTTCCAGGAGCCCCCAGTCACCCCATGGAAGCCAGGCCCACAGCCCTTGGCTCTGGCGTCCCCATCCGGGCCCATGCTCCGCCCCTTCTGGGAAACAGGAGGACAGGCCCTCCCATGTCCTCAGACCCTGCCTGTCCTTGGAAACTGGGCTTCACTTGCCGGTGGGGCTGGCAGTGTCAGTCAGCTGCATCCAGCCCTGGATGTCACCTTGGCATGGGGGGTGGGGGTCCAAGGGCCCCCCAACTGGGGGCAGCAGGAGTTGGAGGAGCAGCTGCTCCCAAAGACCCCCGACCCTGCTGGGTCCCCTCACTGGAGGGCCAGGTCTCCCAGAGGACATCGTGAGTGCAGCCCCACACACGTCCCACTCACTCACCCTGTGTCTGTTCCGCATCCTGCTGTCACGCAATGCCATGTGGGGTGGGGACTGTGGCACATGTGATCCTAATGGGGAGACTGAGTTCGGGGCCAGGATGTCTGTCCCTCTAGTGTCCACCAATGACATTCTGCCAGTGTGGCCGCCTCCAGGCTAGCTCCCTGGATGGCATCTGCTCCTGGCACAGATGAGCTGGCACTTCCGCCTGGCCCCTGGGACAGTATTTACCTTCTGCTGTTGGCAGTAAATATTTACCGTGCTGTCCTCCCGGCCTGAGCAGGCCCTGAGGGGCATGGAGGGGCACGCAGGGCTGCCTGGGAGAGGGAGTAAGACTGGGAACCAGTAGCCTGAGGTCCTGGAAAAGACCCCTTGGCAGAGCCAGCTAGGCTGTCTGGAAGGACACCTGTGTCCCCACCTTGGGAACCCTGCTGTGCACCCACGGAGGGTGGGGTGCCCAGCGCCGGCGGCTTTGCTGGGCGGGCACCTGTCCACGCTGGCAAAGGGGCCAGAGTGACCATTCATAGATGTGACCAGCAGAGGGCGCCAAAGCCCAGTGTTTGACACTTGCACCTGGCTGGCTTTTGGGGGGGTGGGGGGGGGGGGGTGGCCCTGTCTGCAGGTGTCTGCTGTCCCCTGCCATCCACATTCCCACCTGCTGGCACTCACGGGGGCTGCAGGGGCTGCCCAACAGGCTGGCCGCCCTGGACTCTGGTGGCTATGAGGTTTAGGAAGGAGAGAGGGTGTCTGACGTCTCAGCCCCCTGGTCAAGCCCCCACTCAGCCTCTGGGGCCCAGGCTTTCCTGGGGGAGCAGCTGGACACATGTGCTGGGTCCCCAACACTCTGGGGAAGTCTCCAGTGAGAGTGTGAACCCCAGAATCACAGAGACCGGCGGCTACGAGTCCTTAGGGGTGACTTCTTCCAGCTCCCCCCACGTTACGGCCGAGCCAACCAAGGCCACAGGCCTGTGCCCAGCTGGAGACTTTGCTGAGGGTCTCTGGGGCCCAGGGGGATTGAGGCTGGGGGCTGGGGTGGTCGTCTCTCCTCGCCCTACAGGCTCCGCTTGTAGCCACCTCAGCCACTGGAGCCAGAGGCTCATGTGAGGTTGGGGGCTTGGGGGTGAGGACCCCAGGGCCCAGGAGGCCTCAGGCGGGGGTCCAGCTGGGTCAGGGTTAGTTCTTTCCCAGGTCCACCCTCATCTCCCCGCCCGGGGCTGAGAGAAGAGAGGTCAATGCCAGAAAGAATGTTTGGGGGTCTGGGAACTGCCGAGATAACAAACAAGGTGGGGGGCGCCGGCCCCCTTGCTCCCTCCCTCCCTCACTCTGGAGCTGTTGTTTCTGGCCCCAGCTCAGGAACAGTGAGGCAGATTCCTTCGAAAGTGAAGACTGGCGGAGGTGCCTCCCCATCGTCCCCGGCGGCCTGGTCAGGCTGTGCTGGCGCCAAGCACCGCTGGCCCCTGCGGCCCGCTGGTCCTCAGCTCACCTCCCGCTCCCAGGTGGCTTGCCAGCACCAGCCCACCTCGGCTCAGACTACCCGCTTCTGCCCATCTGCCGCTGTCGGGGGTTGGGGCCCTGTCCCTGACCTACAGACCCTTAGGACAGTCTCCAGGGCTCCGTGGAGGGGTCCCTGCAGCTGCCCCCAGAAGCTGGGCTTGAGCAATACCGCAAGGTCACCCCACATCGCCTACCCTCCAAGGCACTGGGCTGAGACATGGGGTCTTGGGTCTGAAGGGCATCCCTGGGCCCACAGTTATGTTGCAGTTGTAGTCCCTCAGGGGAGGGCGGGGATGGAGGTGGGTGCTTCCTCCTGGCTCCCCTCACCCAGAGATGCTCAGAGTGTCTAGATCCAGGTGGTTGACCCTGGTTCAAGGTCACAGGGTCTCTGGGGACAACCCACGCCCAGGGCCTCCTCACCTGTGAACCCATGAGATACTTCCCAGCCCTGCCTGGCTCTGCACCTTGTCAGGGATAAAGGTGGCCCCGAGGCCCCCAGCTGGGGGTCCGCAGCCCTCGGGCTTCCAGGGTGGCCTACCCCTTTCAGCCCCATGTGGACCAGGCTGCTGAGCCATCAGAACCTCAGGGGGTACACATTCCACAGGCCTCACTCTCACCCCCTTCCCAGCCCATCTGTGTTTTTGGAAATCAGAGCCGGCGCCCCCAACAGCCCTGCCAGCTTGGGGCCGCTCACACAGCGACTCAAAGCGAACTCTTTTGTTCTTCAAAGTCCATCCTCACTTCAGAAACTGGGCCTGGTTCCAGCCCAGCCTCCCCCGGGGCCACCTGCCTGCCCCTCCCACACCCGGGGCCTACTTGCCAGGGGACCTCGGAAATCCCCTTCTCTCTCTGGGCCTCAAATTCTGGTCTGTGGGTCAGTCCCATATGGCGGCTCAGTGGGCACAAAGGACAGGACTGGCGGAGCTGACCTCAGGGGGCCCTGGGGTGAACCTGAGGCTCTGAACCCGTGGCTCTGACTTCCCTGGCCCTCCCCGGCCCTCCCTGGATCTCCATGGCCCTCCCTGGCTCTC